CCCTTGACCCAGGTCACTGTGATCTGACTTTTCCCCTGCACAGGGGTGAGGTGGGGAGGTGCAGTACTCTCTCTGGAGGCCCTTGTAGACAGGGATGGAAGCACCTGTGCAAGGAGAAAAGGCCTCCGGCTGACTCTTCAGTCCTTTCACCTGGGGACCAGATCCATGTGCACTTGGGACCTTGAGCAAGTACTGAACTCTGATCAGGGCCTGTTTCTTCAGTGGTTTAAGGAAAATAGAGATCCTCACAGAACCTGTCTCATAGGCTGTTGAAGATTAAATGAGTAATTAGATGAGAAATGTTCAGAACAACACCTGATATGTTTTGGTTCAACAAGTGTTTGCTTTTAGGATTATGATGATTATTCAGCTATCTGCTCTGTTCCTGTTTGGTAAGATGGAGCAAAGCAGAGTTAAGAACAACAGTAGGGGCCTTAAAGCCAGGAGACCTGGGTTTGAAACCCAGCTTTGAGTCCATGTGACTAGGTGAGTTCTTTCATCTCTTTGAGTTCCATTTCCCCCTTTGGTACTTTGCAGACACTGCTCACTACCTTGCTGGGCTTGTATGCAGATTAAACATAATGCAGGTGAGATGACTGACCTGATAACCTGGTAACCACGGTGCTTAGTTAGTTCCCTTCCCTCACTGCACCCAGCTGTGCCTTATCCTTGGGGATCCCTTGGAACTCTCACCAGGATTCAGCTCAGCCAGTGTCTGCTGATACCTGCGGTTGCGTGTGTGCTCAGTAGTACTGATTTGACCATAGAGGTGAAAAAGGATAAGTGAGAACCCCAGGGTCAGGGTCCTTCCAGGCGGGACTGGAAAAGGGAGAAAAGGGCACAAGCTTTCCCATCCTGACAGGGCCAGGGGCCTAGTGCTGTCCTTGGGTCATCTGTGGACTGGATGCACTATAGCTTGCTGGGCAAAGACCCAAGCCAGCTCCAGGCACCAGCTCTTGTCGTAGCTGGCTAGTCCTTCGGCTGTGTAGACAGACCAGAGTCCATAGGAAGGTGGTACCCAAGGGTTTGCCTGTGTATAGGCCAAGAAAGGTGATAGGCAGGGGTAGAATTGATACAGGAGCCCTGAGGAAAGCTCAGCCTTTGATTCATTCAACAAACGGGAGAATGTTTTGAGCAACAGGGATCATTGCTGCAGCCCACACAGTTCCCAGCATCCCAGTACACAGGACGGGTGGGGGTGGGGCCTCCCACCTTTTCTTCCTCCTATAGTAGCTGGTGCATGCTCTGTAAGTACTGAGAGGAGAGGACGAAGAGAAGGACCTAGAGTGGAATTGAGGTCAAACCACTGTTTAGGCCCTTTAGTTTTCTACCATGGTGTTCTGGCCTAGTGGGATCAGCCCTGCCTACTCCTCTCAGTTTTTCTTTTCTTTTTATAATTATCCTCACCCGAGGACATTTTTTTGCATTTATCTTCAGACAGAGCAGGAGGGAGAGTGGAGGAAGAGAGAGAGAAACATCGATATGCGAGAGACACATTGACTGGTTGCCACCCACATGACCCCATCCAGGGACAAACTGCAACTGAGGTACGTGCCTTTAGCAAGAACTGAACCCGGGACTGCTGAGCCAAACCGGCCAGGGCTCCTGTCAGTTTCTTTCCTTTTTTTTTTTTTTTTTTAAAACATATTTTTTATTTAATTTAATTTATTTTTTTATCCTCACCCGAGGACATTTTTTCCCCCATTTTTTGTTCAGATAGAGTGGGGGAGAGAGAGAGGAAGAGAGAAAGAGAAACATCGACGTGAAAGGGACACATCGAGTGGCTGCCACCTGCACGACCAACCAGGGCCAGGGACAAACTGCAACTGAGGTACGCGCCCTTAGCAGGAACCGAACCCAGGTCTCTCTGGACTGCAGGCCAACGCTCTAACCACTGAGCCAAACTGGCCAGGGCCTGTCAGTTTCTTAAATCAAACCTTTCCTGCCTCAGGACCTTGCTGTTCCCTCTGCCTAGAACATTCTTCCCTCAGCTTTCTATATAGCTGGCTTTCTTATCTTTTAGGTCTCAGCCTTCCCAGACCCCTTATTCATGGAAATCTGTCTTCTTTATATGCTACCCTTTTTTTTTTTAATTTTTTTTTTTTTTTTGTGGTACGTGCCTCTAGCGGGAACCGAACCCAGAACTCTCTTGTCCGCAGCCCGCTGAGCCAAACTGGCCAGAGCTATATGCTATTTCTTTTATTCCTGTTTGTTTTCTTCCTGCCACTTACTGGTGGCTGGCTGTTCACTGTATTTGTTCATTGCCAGTCTCCACAACCAGACGGACTGTGAGTGCCACAGGGCAGAGTGCATGTATTTTTAATTCACAAAGGGATCACCAGCACCAGGAACTAGGCCTGGCACATAGTAAATGTGCAGTAAGTTGTTTGAGTGAGCACGAAGCCTTGAAAGGGAGAGCAATGGGAAGGTGAAAAGTTTTAACTTGACTGTCTTGATGAACAAAATGAATGGCTCTGAGGCCCTGTGATAGCCTGAGAGAGATTCAGAGAGGAGGGGCTCCTACTCCTCCACATTCAAAGGCCCAGGCTTGGGGACCCCTGGCTAGAGATGGACTCATGTCTGACTTCTTCAAGCTGAGCTTTATGTATGTTTATCATAAAAATGGGAATTAATCAAAGTCATAGAGCTGATCTAACTATGAGAAGAAAATTGTGTAGGTGTTCAGTGCTCAGTGAATGGCAGCTATTGGTAAACTCTTTACAACGAAAGCTCCCAGAAAGATGCCCAGACAGGTGGATACCTACCAGGCCACACCTGCCATTCCCCACCCCCAATATCCACAGTTTCTAACATTTCTTCTCTCCTGCTACCTCTGAGATAGCAAGAAAGTTGTTAGGCAGCTTTTTCCCTTTGGTGGCCCTTCCAGTGGAGGGCAAGAGGAAGAAGGACTTGGAGAAAATGTTAGGGAGTTGTGTTTGCCTATATAAGGAAAGGGTTAATGTTTTAAAGAGATTTGTTTTTATGACCTTACAATAGCCATGCAGCTAAGAAACTGTTTTCTAGTTTAATCCATAACTTTTTAAAATAATGCTCACGTGAGCTATTGTAAGATCAGTCTTGCCACATTTATAGGCCATTGGGAGTAAATGAGAGAAAGGAGGGTATGAATGGTTGATCTTATGGTCAAGAAGGATGCCACAGTTAGGTGCCTGCTGCTCTCAGGTGTGCAGAAAATATTTGCACTCTTCCTGAGTAGCTGTCTGCCCTTGTGGTGTCATTCATTCATAAATTAAAAACTGCTAGGCCCTGCCCTAGCCTTAGGTGAACACAGAGGTGTTTGGAATCCATTTCCCCTGCTCTGGCCCTATCACTGATATCTTAGATCAGCCAAGACTTAGAGGAGTAACCATTCTCGGGTGGAAAAGAGTGCACTTCAGAAAGAAGAAACGTGATGTGCTAAAGGCATCATGGAGCTATTTATTTATCTATTTTTATTTTTTAAATAAGAATTTGTTCTCTTTATTTTTTTATCCTCACCCAAGGACATTTTTGCACTTTTTATCTTCAGATAGAGCAGAAGGGAGAGAGGGAGGAAGAGAGAGAGAGAGAGAGAAACATTGATGTGAGAGAGAGACATCGAGTAGTTGCCATCCACACGACTCCAATTGGGGCCTGGGACAAACTGCAACCGAGGTACATGCCCTTTGTGGGAACCGAACCCAGGACTCTCTGGTCTGCGGGCCAATGCTCTAACCGCTGAGCCAGGCTGGCCAGGGCCATGGAGCTGTTTTTTAAAAGTACAGGGCCTGATGAAGGGCTGGACATGGGAGGGTTTAACACCCAGGCTCGGTTGGTTAGATTTGACCCTGTAGGCAGTAGGAGACAAACGACAGTTTTCTACAACGGGAATAATAGTCATTGCGTTCTAGGAAGAGAAGGGACAATCAGTGAAGAGGCTGGGTGGAAGAGCCATGGAGCTGTTAAAAAGAATCCAGACAGATGTGGGTCAGGGTGCTAGGTATGTCTTGGCTTTGCTGTGTAACACTTAACAGAGAGAAATTTTGTGCCTCATGCATAGGTCCAAAAGATTGATCTAAACATAGAAATAGATGGGAATGGGGTCAAGGTTAAATGGTAGCTTTCTGAGCAGCATGTAGGAAAAAAGACTTAAGGATGTTGGTTGAATGCACATTAAACTGGAGCCACTGATCCTAGTTTTGCTTGGAAACAGTAATTTTCTTGTTTCTGACAATCCCTGGTGTCTTTATGGCCTGCAGCAAGACTCTGCTCTAGAAATTTAGAAGTGAATCACTTTGGTATCATCCTGTCTCCCACTTCATACCCCCAAATTGAAGTCTCCCCTTTCAAACCCCCATATTCAACTTGGCACCAGGTCCTCTAATTTCCAATTTCCTAAATAGATTAAACATTTGTTATCTCATCACCTCCCTTAATATAACTACTAACCTTTCTCCCTGTCTCCACTCTGTTTTCCATGTAGCAAGTTGTTCCTTTGCTCACTACCCTTCTACACCCCTCTTTGCACTTAGAATAAAGAACCACATCCCCACCATAGAGGTAACCTCTAGTTACCACTCTGAGCTCCGGCCATACAGGCCTTCTCTGAGTTCCTCATAGGCACTCTGCTTCCACCTGCTACGGGGTTTTTTCAGAGGTTGATCCTCCTAAATCAAATGTTCCTCTCCCTTCCCACATGCCACCTAAACTACTACTTATCCTTCAGATCTCATTTTAGGAGCATTTCTACCCTGGGTCCACAAAGACTAGATTGGGTCTTCCCATTATTGTCTCCAACAGCACACCATTGTACTTCCCCTTCATTGGCTGAATCATAGTTGCAATTTTATATTCATTTGTATGATTTCTTCCTTAACTTTCTCTTCCCATCCTGAACCTCTCAGAGGAGGACTGGGATTGTGCGCGTGTTGTTTGCTGTTATATGCTGGGGCCTGACATAGGTGCTTTGTAGCTAGTTCTGATTGAGTGAACTGATACAGTCTCTCACACTTACATTCCAGATATGTAACTGGTTCATCAACGCTCGGCGACGGCTTCTCCCAGACATGCTTCGGAAGGACGGCCAAGACCCCAACCAATACACCATTTCCCGTCGTGGGGGCAAGGCCTCAGACGTGGCCCTCCCCCGTGGCAGCAGCCCCTCGGTGCTGGCTGTGTCTGTACCGGCCCCCACCAATGTGCTCTCCTTGTCTGTGTGCTCCATGCCACTCCACTCAGGCCAGGGGGAAAAGCCAGCGGCCCCCTTCCCACAAGGGGAGCTGGACGCCCCCAAATCCCTGGTGTCCCCTGGTAACACACTCACCTTGCTGACCAGGGCTGAAGCCGGAAGCCCCACCGGTGGACTCTTTAACACACCACCACCCACACCCCCAGAGCAGGACAAGGAGGACTTCAGCAGCTTCCAGCTGCTGGTGGAGGTGGCACTACAGAGGGCTGCTGAGATGGAGCTTCAGAAGCAGCAGGACCCGGCACCGCCGTTACTGCGCACTCCCATCCCCTTGGTTTCCGAAAACCCCAAGTAGGCATCTGCCAACAGTGGTGCTCAAGGCTCGAGCCAGCTGTTCTGGGTTTCTGTTTTGGTTCCCTTTCATACAGAGGGTTTTCTTTGGATCACTGCCAAACATCAGGATCATCTCCTCTGTCCAGGGTCTTCAGCAGGAAGACACCAGCTGGTGTCACTGCACTGTGATGGGGACCTCTCTGCTGACTGCCGTTTCTCCAGGCCTCAGGTGATGAGACCGAGAGCGGAGACAGGCATGGTGCTGCTGCTACTTCTCCAGAGAATCCGCAGGACCCTTTGTTCCAGTCTGCTTCTCCTGGGCTGGGCACAGGAAACCTGCCAAGTTCAGACCTATGCTGGGTCCAAGTTGCCCCTGAGCCAGCCGTTTTGTTAAGCAAAGTGGACATTCCAAGTTCATAAGTGTGAACAAAAGAAAAGAGGAACCCAGCAGATGTAATAGAACCGACTCCAGTTGAATGTTCAGGTTTTTGCTAAACTTGGTGTTCATTTTTCCCTTTTTGCTGTGGTTTGCGTTCGTGGGGGCAGTGAGCCCAGGTGTGGGGAATGAGTGCATTGTGTGATGGAGTCAGATGAACTGGGCTGATCCACCACTGCAACAGCTGATTGTTTCACAAGGAAGGAGTATTTTCATTTGAGGGACCAGCTGAATCCCTGCAAAATTCCAAATGGTTGTTTTAATGTTAGTTTGGTTTACCAAAAAAAGGAGGAAGAAACTTACAGGCTTCGGCTTTTCAGTATCAGGCACAGGAGCATAAAGCCAGAGCCAGCAAGAGGGTCCAACAGAGAATCTGACCAAACTTTCTAGGCACAGAGCAGAGAAGGGTGGTAAAACCAGAGTTGTTTTTTCTGTTTTTGTTTTTACTGTACTTTTGGGGGTGGGGGGAGTAAGTTAGACTGAGGCAGTAGGGTTTTTGTTTTTTCTCTTTAATGTTTTCCCCTCCTTTATCCTTGGAAGATTTGCCCTGCAGCCTGAGTTTGGGATTCCTTTAGGAACTTGGATTAGTGGGGCCAGAATATCAAAAGCTCCATCTACTGGCAGCTTTTCTCACAATGGCGACAGGAAACTGTTCCTGAAGAAAGCCGGGAATCCTGCCCCCAGCTGCCTGAGGACTGCCTTCTGAGGAGGCTGGGCTGGGAATAGAAGCCTGTTCACGCTGGTGTCTGCTAGTGTCTTCGTGTTGCACCTTTCTTTAAACTGGAGTTGCAGAGGCCCCTGCCCTGAACTTCACAGCAAAACAGACCACAGCTGGTCTTTCTCCTCTCTTCCCTGTTTTTTATTTTGCCGGTTTATTGCTGACAGCATTCAACAGCAGTATACCCTATCTTTATATATCCTAAGAAACACTAATTCTAGGTTATTAGCCAAACTATTTTTGTTCTGAATGACATTGTTACTGGGCCAAAAAACAGGTCAGTATCCCTAGCCTATAGTTTCCTGAAGTTGCCAGGTCAGGCACAAGGGGGAAGAGTTGTTGGGTGTTGACTGACTTGGTTAGATCTGGCCAGGGGAAAAGGCAGAAACAGGTGTTCTGTCCTTTTGGGGATGATCCCTGAAGGCTTCAGGGAGGCACCCTCACTGAGTGGCTTGGCCCACCTGTTGCTGTAGGTGTGGGGATTAGTATTTACAGAGAGGGAGCTTTGCTCTGACTGGGAAGTTTCCTCAGCTCTTTTGCCTCCTCCCTCCTCTTGTGCCCTCTCCTTGTGTGCCCTGGGTGGGTGGGAAGGGGATCAGGGATCCTCACCCTCCTTAGGCCCAGCTGGGGAAGAATAAACGTGAACACGGCAGCTACAAGATTAGTTGAAGCTCCTGTTTGCCCAGCCTCTCTTCCACTCCGCACACGTCTGTGAGCCTAGGTCTGGTGTGAATATTGCAAGACCACTTGTAGCAGGGGACTCTGGAAGTGTATTGGGTTGGAGTGGACTTTTCCTTCCAGCAGGGCACTGAGCAATGGAGGTGGTAAGGGGTGAGGGAGCCATGCTGCTGAATTCTGGTTGGCATTCCCCCCTTGTGAAAGATTGGGAGGCTGGGGGTTGAGGCAGCCTCTGGTTTGGTTTGGTTTGGTTGTGAGAGAAATCTGGAGGAGAAGCACATTTATCCCATTGAATAATTTGAGCAGAAAACTACTGTAAATAAGTTTTGTTTTTGTCTTTTGTCAAATAAAGTTGTTTTGGGTTTTGTTTTGTTTTTGTTTCTCAAGTAGAAACAGATTAATCCACTATGACCCTGGGCCCAGCCTGGAGATGGGCAATTGCTGAGTTCTTTGCATGACCTCTTTCACGCCTCCTCTAGTACCACCTGGAAGTGTACACGCTGCAGCCTTACTTCCTTACCTCAACCCTGTCCATATCCCATGCATCATTGTGCAGGGGACACCTGCATCTCAAACTGGACCAGTCTTCCCTGGGATCAACAGTGAGCTTTGGGTTTGCTATGGGTGAGGGGACTCAGGGATCTGGCAACTTGCTTCTCTCCCTCTCCCAGTGAGGAAAGCATGGCTGCAGTATGAGCCAGCACAAAAGCAGATGGGTGCTCTAGTCATATCTGAAACCAGTACCACCTCTGACTTCCGATTACATAAGCTAGTAAATTCCCCTTTTTAAAAAGCTAGCCGTGGGTTGCATTTCTGTCATAGTGATAATGACTGTACATTGTAATTGCAGCCCAAACAGTACAGAATCACGATAGTAGTAAACAGACTTGCTATGTGCCTGGGTCTATGCACTGTTCAGTCTCTTAAATTCTGTCCACACACAAGAAGTGAGATGCCCTTCTCATAGGTAAAGAAACAGAATTTATATGCCTGAGCTTACACAGCTGATTCTAAGTGGAGCTAGAATGTGAATTCAAGTTTGTCTTGTTTGAAGGTCACCTTGAGGTCTACCCAGACTTTACTTGAACTAGTGATGGGCTAAGCACAAAATAAGTTTAATACTCATTTACATCTGGGAAACAATAGTCCCATAAAAGGGGAAGTGATTAGAGTGGTTTGACTGCCTCAGGAGAGGGCTTACAAATGAAAAGAACTGAACCCTGGCCGGTTTGGTTCAGCGGTTAGAGCATCGGCCTGAGGACTGAAGGGCTGTGGGTTCGATTCCCAGTGAAGGGTGCATACCTGGATTACAGGTTTGATTCCTGATTCCTGGTTGGGGTTGTGCAGGAGGCAACCAATCAAATCGATGTCTCTCTCACATCAGTGTTTCTCCCATCCTATCTAGAAATCAATGGAAAAAGTCCTCAGGTAAGAATTAACAACAAATTCAAAAAACTGAAAACAAAAGTCTTTTGCATTGAGCTTCAACTTAATGAGCTCTGAATGAGCAAGCACTTGTATAATGAAAGTCGAGATAATGTGGCTAGGGCCCCTCTGAAGCTAGGAGTGTTATCTAAGAACATCTACCTTTCCTGTAACGGACTCATTGAAGAAATAGCTTTTAGGAAATGCTACCTGGTCTTGAGTACCTGCTTGTTGGGTTGTCTGTGTATTATCAGAACCCCTGTTTATGTCCCTCCTCTTAACAAAGGCCAGTGTGATGCTTCAAGGCCTTGGGTATTGATGTAAATGGAGGCCGTGTGTCCAATAGGAAAAGGAAAAAAGGGGGAGGGGTGTCCTTTAGATTGATGGTAAAGACCTCTTCCTTTACACGTTTTTTCATTTTTATTTTTTTCTTTGATTTTTTAGAGAGAAAGGGAGAGAGACAAATATTGATGAGAGAGAACATTGATTGGCTGCCTCCTGCATGCCGCCCCCTGGGGATCGGGCCCACAACCTGGGCATGTGCTTTGACTGGGAATTGAACCGTTAACCTCTGGGTGCATGGGTTGACACTCAGCCACTGAGTCACACCAGCTGGGCTATACTTTTTTTTAAGTGGTAATTGCTCCCTGGAATTAACTGGGAAACTTCCCCATCTCAGCCCCATGAACAGGAATACCTAGGGTGGGAATCAGGACTCTGGATTTAAAACACTCTAGCCTTGGCCAGTATGGCTCAGCAGTGAGCGTTGCCTGCAGACCAGAGAGTCCCGGATTCGATTCCAGCCAAGGACATGTACCTTGGTTGTAGTTCCGCTGCGGCCCTGTTCAGTTGGCAACCAATTGATGTGTCTCTCACATCGATCTCTCTTCTCTCTCTCTCTTCCCCTCCTTTTCTCCCTCCAGCTCTATCTGAAGAGTAATATAAAAATATCCTTGGGTGAGGGAAAAAAAAAACAAAACACTTTATAGTAGCCCCTCGACACTTTGTGCTTCTATGGTCACAGCTTCACTCTATAGTATTTGAAAAAATTACAATAGAGTGAAGCCTCGAAGGGCGAGGTGGCGAGGGATGACTGTACAAAGAATCCTACTTCGGCCCTGGCCGGTTTGGCTCAGCGGTTAGAGCGTCGGCCTGCGGTCCTGAGAGACCCGGGTTCGGTTCCCGCTAAGGGCATGTACCTCGGTTGCAGTTTGTACCCGGCCCTGGTCGGTTGTGTGGGTGGCAACCACTCGATGTGTCCCTTCACACTGATGTTTCTCTCTCTCCCTCCACTCTACCTGAACAAAAAAAATGGAAAAATGTCCTCGGGTGAGGATTAAAAAAAAAAAAAAAGAATCCTACTTTGTGTAAATTCATTTATCGTGGTAGAGTCTGGAACTGATTAATCACGATAAAGAAGGGCCGACTAGTTTGGCCGGTGTGGCTCAGTGGATTGAGTGTCAGCCCATGGACTGAGAGGTCCTGGTTCAATTATCAGCTTAGGTTGCAGGCTCGATCCCCAGTAGGGGGTGTGCAGGGGGCAGCTGATTAATGTTTCTCACGTCCATGTTTATCTCCCTCTCTTAAAAACAAACACACACACAAAACACTCTAGTTTGGAAGCTGATAATGTGAATGTTCTCAGAAGGCAGGGCCTGGGTCTGTGGTGGGGTAGCTGTAACCTCAACTATGCTAACTGTAGCTATAGAGAAAAAGGTCTGGTACTCAGGGGAGTTGTGGAAATAATCATCACTGCTCTCAATGTTACTGGTTTCCAAAGCATTTCTCTATGATCCAAGCCTGGGTTCAAATTCTGGTACTGTCACTTCATTCATTAGCTGTTGTGACCATAGGCAAGTCAGTTTACACCACAAACTTCAGTTTCCTCACCAACAAAATGGGAATATTCACCTCCTAGGAGGATGAAATAGGATTATTATCTGGCCTCAGCACAGGGCTGAAAGTAAAACAAAACATTTAAAAATAACTTGCCTCACCCTGGCCGGTTTGGCTCAGCGGTTAGAGCGTCGGCCTGCGGTCCAGAGAGACCCGGGTTCGGCTAAGGGCATGTACTTCGGTTGCAGTTTGTCCCCAGCCCTGGTTGGTCGTGCGGGTGGCAGCCACTCGATGTGTCCCTTTCACGTCGATGTCTTTCTCTCTCTCTCTTCCTCTCTCTCCCTCCCACTCTATCTGTACAAAAAATGGAAAAATGTCCTCAGGTGAGGATAAAAAAATAAAATAAAATAAAAATAACTTGCCTCATACCACACAGCTTTTATGTGCCAGAAATGGTACTAATGACCCAGAGTAGTTCACCAGCCTTATTATGCATCAAGATCATCAAAATGCCAAATTCCCAGACCTCACCCCCAGAGTGTCCAGGAATTTGCACTACTCACTGATGCCACAGGAGAGTCTCATGCTGTTGCTCCAGAGACCCAATCACTTATAATCGGGACACTGATTGATCCCCAGAAAACCTCTGGGTTGGGAAGATATCACCACATCTTTCAAAGTAACAAGATGAGCCCTGGACAGTCTGGCTTAGCGGTTGAGCGTCGACCTGCGGACCAGAGAGTCCCAGGTTCGGTTCCTGTTGCTAGGGGCATGTACCACAAAAAAAAAAAAAAAAAAAAAATCAACAGAGTAACAAGATGAGAGGAAAAGAATACAATGAAGTAGACTCCCCAAACCATCTGACTTCCCCTTGGCCCCTTAGGACTCTATGATGGCCTGAAGGTCAAGTATAGCCTGAGACTATCATTTTAATTACAGGCAATCCACATTCATTGCAGAAAATTTTAAGATAGAAGTCAAAGGAGAGGAGTTCATGATAGTGGTTAAGAGCCCAGCCAGCTTTTGGAGGAAAACAAATGTATGTAAAACACTTAGCAAAGTTGACACCTACTAAGGGCTCAAGTACTAATAAAATGTTTATTGCAGGCAAAAAGAAAAGAGAACCAGAATACAAACTCAGACCTCTACTTCACAACAGGAGTTCTTCCCGTGGCTCATGGTTTCCCCTCCAGAACTCCTGATTTCTGTGATTCCATCTATGTCTATCTGGGGCAGCAGTCTCACTTCTCAGAGCACATCTTCCTCTCCAAACCCTTCTACATGCAGCCAGCTGGCAGCAGTATAGAGGCATTCAGCGAGGAAGACACACAGGCATACCTCATTTTACTGAGTTTCACAGATGCTGTGTTTCTTACAAATTGAAGGTAAGACCCCTCCACTAGCAAAAAGATTACGACTCACTTTATTGTGGTGGTCTGGAACAAGATCTCGGGGGTATGTCTGTGCTCACCCCAAGGCTGAGATCATGTGTTTGAATAGTGCTAAAAAGCCCCAACCTGACAAAAGCAAATTTGTCCTAATTCCAAATCTGTCTCTCTCACTTCCAAATCTGACTTCATCAAGTTCTTTTCCATATTAGCCCACCCAGGCTGTTTATTTTAACCAGAT